ACGTAACGCTGCGAGCCTATTTTGTCGTTCTAATAGGATACGGCGAAACAGGCAAGGTTTTCACCAATTAGGTGAAAATTGAGTGTAGAGAGGTTAATGATTCGACTAGGAACTGGCTACTAATTGGCCCAGACCCTTCTGGCATTGCTGCGTTGTACAAAAATTCGCTTATGGGGCATTCACTGTAGTGCAGGGTCCCGTCGGCGCACTCGACGCTGAGGTTACCGGACTGTGTATGGGTAGATATATGAAAACACCTTGAGGCATTCTGTGCGCCGCACCACAATCTGTACTCTGTGTGTTCAGACCTTTAGGTACAACTGTATGCTTGGTTGAATTGAAATGATTCACGATTGGTGTATTCTTTTTTTTCTTATAAGAATACGCAATGCGATCTCGAGACCAGTGCTGTCGAAGGTTATCCTAGAGTAAACTTTCAACCTACATGGCAATACATTTAGAAATATGTATATCATGATACTCACAACCTCCAGTCGAGTTACAGTTAACGGTTATATATTCTGTACCGAGCCCCAGAGTAGGCAATGCTAAAAAACCATCGCCGTATTTCTTCGATCTTGACATTCCAAACACAGATACACTGCGGGAGCTTTCCACAGATACGGCTTTCTTTGGTAAAACTTGATGAAATGGCTCTAAAGTTATGATATCATCATAAGTATATATCTGTGATTTTCCAGCAGCAAGTTCAATGAAATGTTCGATATTGGTTCCATGGAATATAACAGAAACGTTACATTGTTCTCTTGCCGTTATAACTACCTCATTCTTGATATCTGTATCATGGTACGCCAAGAAGGTGAGAACAAAATGTGTTCCCCAGTGGTCTCTATCTAAACCTGAAAATCACCAATTTAGAAGAATTGACTTACGATCTATGTTCAACTTACATATTTTCAGGAACATAAATATAATCACTTCAATTGTGTATACCCTTAGACGAATATGTAAGTTTTGGCACCACAAACGTAATCCGCCATTTTCAAACAATTATAGTTTGGTGCCATATTCAATATAAAATTATATTTCCAATATAAAATTAGGGTGTACAACTACTAACGTCTTGTGGTACGCAAACATGATTTAAAGACCCTACTAGACTTTCTTGATCAATCATATTTTATACCTGTCATTAACTTGTTAACAATATCTAAAAATTACTTACCCTTAATTGGTGTCATAAACAAAATTATCTGAAAGAAAATCAAAACTTGGTTACAAAGAAAGAGGTAATACAGGCCTTCCTGTAGATTGGAAAACCCATTCAACGTCGAAAACGTATCGCTTTTTGAAATTAAATGTTGAAAAAATATTTTATGATTACCAAAAAGGTACCGATCGTTGTTAAGATTTTCACCATTTTCCAAAGTCTCCTTCTCAAAAAATTAGAAAATTTGTCATGAAAACATTCTGTTTACTTATATATCTTTTGTTTTCTCAGCATCCTTTTAAACACTTTAATTACTGCCACGAAGTTTTCTAAATGTTAATGAGCTATACTGACAATCTCTTATATAGACATTTGCTCAATCGATATAGTTGTCTTGAAACGCAAGTTATCGACCTTGCCATCAAATTTATCGATCATATGTCCGGAACATTGAAATTTATGAAGTCTGATATTGAAAATTGCTCGCATCTTTCGAATATTTCGCATCTTTCTTTCATATCTCTATGATCATCTGGGATCCCTAAATGTTGAATTATCCATATTTACCACATGAAAATAGGCTTTTCCTGCAGTTTTTATCCGGCAGAAGCGTACTTTCGAATTTGTCTAACTAAAATTTTCATGGCCATGATCATCTTATTCCAAATATGGGTTTTGACAAGTCTTATTAACCCGTTTTAAACTAGCTCACTACCCTTCGTTTTATGGACGTGGAAATGAGATTGGTGCTATCTGAATCGAAGCGGAGTTGAAGGAGAACGGAAGGTCATGTAAACAAAACACAAAATCTCTTTGCTTCAAACCATCATGAAGAGATTAAGGCCACATTCTTTCCAGCTACTAAATATTCCAAAGTACGGACTGACTTGTCTTAATGTCGTTGTGTCTTCTGGGCGATACTATTTACTTCCGGTATTTAGCACTGATTTGTCTAGTAATGGTAATATAGGACTTACTCCACTAAAACATTTTATGCAAATGATCCAGGCTATTTTTAGAAATCTTCTTTCTCTCTCCCTTTTGGGGTTTTTGCATGCCTATTTTTATTTTTATTTTCATTATGCTCCCCAACTACAACAACCACTGGCAAGAAGCCAGAAATAGAAACACTAATCGTCAACCAAACCAATATCACGTACCCTACAACGGCCCTGTCTTCCATTGACCTCTACCACCTACCAATCGCCGACCACCAACCAACCCATCCAGCTATATCCCACCCCATCGCCGACCTACCTACAACACAGCCTACCAATCAAGAGGTAACCATCGACCTGACCAACAACAGAAACGACTACCAGCCCACCGACGCCAACCAGTCCCCACTCATAAGGAGGAAGAACCCTTTGTGAAGTTGTTCTTCCAAGTTTTGCAGTGCCTCCATCATTTGGCAATCCTTACCCTTCAACAGCAAGGCCAACCAGCGTTTACCTTCAAACGCAAAGTCTCTGAGTTGGATAGTTTTATCCGTCCAGCAATGAAAACATCAGCTGTCGACGCGAATATTAGATCCCTCAATCGGACATGGCTCTGTAAGGTTACGCAGGTCTTGATCGACCATTACCAAACCACACTTCAAGAGAAGCTGACCACCATTCGTACCAAGTCTTTATCATCACCTGCCGTCGACCGCATCGTTTCTCATGCCCTGTCCTGGGCCCGTCGCTCCTATGGGAAACGTCTCACTCAAGCTGTAATTTCCAAATTCTACCAAACAATCAACGAAACAAAAACCAGAGTAACCATATCTCTACCAACTGAAATGGACACTACACCTGCACCATCTAGAGCTACCACGCTGCCGAACCAAAC